TATGTACAATAGGACTGTGCATGCGCCTCCTGTACTGGCACCCCCCGCTCCCATCTCTGTGTGGAGTGAGATACAAATGCCCAAAAAAATAATAACAATTGTAAACCGCTTTGTGACCCTTGTCTGTGAAAGGCGGTATATAAATAAACATTACTTACTTACTTACTTACTATATTGACAATCGATTCTATTTCATTCAATCTGCACTAAAAAAGAATAAAATAAATGTTGTATATTGTGCAACAGCAGACATGGCAGCTGATGTAATGACTAACTCAGTGAAAAAGTTAGAATGGAAAGGTTCACACACATTTTCTGTTTTGAATGTAAATGTAATGTAAATATGCCTGTGTCTATTTTTCTTGCAGTGTTAAGAGCAAGTGAGGGTATTGCCTTGTATCTGTATGTGTTTGTGTGCTCTTACACTGAAGGGTCAAACCGGAAGTGCCTTGTGTTTTACTTCATAAATGACGCGGTGCGCTCTATGCGTGTGTTTGAGTCAAAGAGACTGAAGAGTTGTGTTTGTTTTCCTCAGTGAATGGTTCGTGTTGCACGGTTATCCTGCCCTTACAATGCTGCGATCAACAAGCTGAAGGAGCTAACTGGAGAGAGCTAACTGAGGGGGGCTGAGAGCTAATAAAGCTAAAAAGGGACGGCATTATCACCACAGGCTAACATGAGCTAACAGGAGCTAACAAGAGCTAACAGGAGCTAACAGGCGCTAACAGGAGCTCAGTGGAACATGGCAGAAGTGAAACTGGAGGAAGACTCTGAGCTCAGGGACATAAAGGAGGAACCACAGGACCCTGAGTAAGAGACACACGCACGCACGCACGTGCACACATACACACGCAGACACACGTACACACATGCCAAATCTGGTCATTTCCTTTGGCCCTTGAGGAAATATCAAATTAACATTAGTAAGTAATGTTTATTTATATACCGCCTTTCACAGACCAGAGTCACAAAGTGGTTTACAATTGTTATTTTTGGGGCATTTGTGTCTCACTCCACACAGAGGCCCCGTCCCAATACTCGCACTTCCACCCTCGCGCCCCTCATTTGCGCGTTCCCGATAAAGGGTGCGAGTGCGTAGGGTGTCCCAATTCTCCAGGGAGGTCTTTGGCCCCGCCCCCTTTGCGCCCCTGATCCACACTTCGCCGTAGCCTGCATCTATGCGCACTCTGGCGAAGGATATTGCCCATAATTCTTTTCGGTACACATCAAAACGTCGGGAAAATGCATTTAAATATAAATTTTGAAATATATATGCTGTATGTGTGTAAATAAGTTTTGCTGTTACTTGGAAAGAAGCATAAACGTCTGATGAAGAATTACGGACATTGTGTTTTAACAATTTAATAACTTTTTAAAACAAGCGTTTATATAACATTCAATTTAAACTTTACACTTAGTACAATAATCTTAGAATGTATAAAAACTGACCAGATAGTTAGTTACCCACATTTAACTTAAAATTATACAGCTATCTCTAATTAAAAACCACTAATATACATGTATTTTAACGTGTGTGAAGCAATTCATTTTGTTTCCCAAAGGGTCAGACAAAATTACCTTTAATGTTTATAAAGTTTCTTTATATCTCTTGACGAGTCGATGACGTAACCTGCACTCACTGCACTGTCCCAATTCTGCCTTTTTTGCACACTTGTAACCTGCGCACTCCAACCCTGGTGTGCACTTCGAACAAATGCACACTTCGTAGAGGTGTGTAGGGTGCAGTGTAGGTATTGGGACTGGGCCAGAGAATAGATGGTTTTCGATCACGTGTTTATTACCCATGATGCTTTGCCACGGATCATTCTCACAATGTCTTCTAAAGCCACGAAATCGGCCGACTCTGACCGCGTGAAGTATAGTGATTAGGGTTGGGCGATATGGGCCTCAGCATGTATCACGATTTTTGTTGGTATGTATCACGATATGACGATATGATATTTTAACAAAGCCTCATATAAAAGCTATAAAAACTTAGCACTGATCATTTTAAACACACTTGCCTCAAAGTGCATTTACTGATTTATTGGCAGCAAAATGTGTAATACAGCTATTGTATATAAAACGTATTAACAAAACTGAATTGTAGAGAATTCTGTTTTGTACATACTGAAATTTGCAGGTAACATGTAATAAAGGTGAACATTTGTAATTTGTAAAATATATAAAAGTTTGTCCTTTGTAATATAAAAAGTGTAGCATTATCAAATAATTATTTGATCACTTTGGCTTATGTTTCCTAATCCCAATATAGTCAAAATGATCAAATACTGTATATATTTTTTGTATCCTTTTTCGTTTCTATAATTATGTAATTATAACTTATTTGTAATTATATTGCAATGTAGACAAACACATGCATTGAAGTAAAATGAATGACAGTAAACAGTAAATAAAGCTTACCAATGGCACTATGAGAGAGAGAGTCCGAAGCAAGCCACTCGAGTCCAGTTGTTTAGGGCAGCTGCTTTCACAACATTAGATCCACTGTCGATAGTTACACACAATTGCTTCTTTTTATCTAGTTCCCAAACTACTCCCATATGTTTGAGGTAGCTCCGCGTTTTGGCACAATGTCTTCTACAATCTGCATGTCTTCACCATGGACTTCACCGCCGCCCTCAGCCATGTTTGCTCTCTGTTGTTGATGTTGTCCCTGCACGCCGCTCTGCTACAAAACGTGCCGCGCAGATGGCATCATCAAAGTGCGCCGCACACAACGTGTCTTCCGCTCGCTGTTTCAGGTGTTAAATGATCGTTTTCACCGGTATAAGGCATTTTTCCTTATCATTTAAATTTACTTATACCGGTATACCGGTATAAAAAAATATTGCCCAACCCTAATAGTGATACACCTGGACGTAATTTCTAAGGAAAGAAATATTTGGAGAAATTGAGAGTGATCGGAGATTTTGGATCCATACGAAATGCGGCGAGACCAGTGGACTTTCACAGAAATGGACTCCTGGCCTGCGGTAACATACGCAGACATTGTGAATTACTGCCTACACACACGAAGTCCGTACACCCTGAAGGAACTGAAGGCAATGAAGACGAATGGAATCGTTCAATTACCTGTGTGTGAGTTGGGTGCAGGAGGTGAGACACTGCTATCATCACGACAAGAGTGTTTTTGATGGCTAGGATAAAACACTCGCAAAACGGATGAATGCACCCTTGCCTCCTACCCTGGGTAATCACCGAGACGAGACGGGAGGTTCTGTCTGCACATTGTACCTGTGTATGGCTGGTCTTGGAGAGGTTGTTCCCACGTCGGTGCCATCCTTTTTGCTCCTGGACAGTGCGACAGATATAAGGAAAAGACGAACTGTGACCCAGGAAAAGGCCTACTGGTTGTTACCTGCAGCTCTACAGAAGGTAACTTTAATGTTTATGCACTTCAAGTCATGTATTAATATAAGTGTGTGTGTGTGTGTTTTGTGTGTGTGTGAATATATACACACATATGTACATACATAGGCAATGTATGTGATATATATAATAATATTCAAATGTTAGGATTAAAAGAATAATGACTTTGACTATTTGACAATTTTAGGTAACTTCGAATCCTAAATGCATGTAAACTATGTAAACTGTCCTAATTTCTGTTTTCTTGTTTGTTATTTTTAGGTCCAGTATAAAACAATTCCAGCAGATTAACTTCACTTTTTCAGCAAAAACCATGAAGAAGCAACTGGAGATGACTATCAACAACACCGGTACCCCTGTTGTCAACAGCCCAAGGAAACAACCGAGTGTTGATGAACCATGACCGAATCTGAACTTGCCACTCTATTCAAGGAACTACACGTCACTGAAAAGAAGCCAGTGCTCCTGGCATTGGTTCCAGGCTATTTGAAATACTTTCGTCCTGAAGCACTAGTCAAGAAGTATCCAACTCCTTTGTCCGGGCTTTACGATGAAAACTTTTGCCACGACCCCAAGTGAACCACTGCTACGTCCATTGTGAGAGCATATTTGAAAATATTACTATGACAGATGATGGAATTTGATCCACAGATTGGTGGTATGTTCTAAAGGATTCTGTGAAAAAGAACACTCCAAAAATAAAGCAATTCACAGAAAACTATTTGTTCATGGGATTTATTTGATATTGGCACTTAACATATAATATTAAACTAAACATATTCATTGACATAACTCTTTTGGTGGAAATATCACAAGTCAACAAAAAAGCACAAGTTGAGCCATGGTATAACAAGATTTTAATCAGAAGATATATCATGTTTTGAATGTGTCCAAATACCTCCTCTGTCCATTAGAGGGGTTGCTAGAACATAATTGTTTTATCCATTAGTCAATTTTTCCTATATGTAACTAGACCTGATCCTTTCTAAAGAGTAGAAACAAAGTGACACTTTCATATAGTAATTTATTAAATGTACTCATGTTAACTTATTTTATCCACACTAGACTTTACTGTGCATGGGCTCATGTGTAAGTAACCTGCAAATGTGAGGGTTTTTTATTTTTTCTTTTATTGCTAAGTCAAATGGCACCAAACCGAGCCACACAAATTGGACAGTGCAAAACACTGTGAAATATAACAGTGTAAGTTAGTCAATATGAATGGGTTGGATTGCAAAATTGTGTTTTATTGTTTCCACATGGTCTGGCTCATCAACGGTGATTTTTTTTCTTGTTGGTATCTTCACCTGCGAGGCTAACACTCTCTTTTACGAAGCCTCGTCTCAGTCTCATTTTTGGACAGCAGGCACAGTAATGGACAGCAGGCCACAGTTTTTCAAGTCAACATGCTTGTCACCTGGCTCGGCCACCCCATGCCTTTTGACAAAAAGGAACGGCTCCCTGAGGTGGTGATGCCCCATGAGATACATACAGTATTGTGGGCTTGTAATTCGACCAACGTCTCTGCTCGAGCCAAGTAGTTGGAGGGCCTCCTCTATGAAGATCTCAAAGCAGTCAATAATTTATTGACACCTTCACACCGAAGTTCATCCTAAACTGTCTCCATCAGGCATGGACATCTGGAGGTCCTCTCGATCCTGGCCAGAGAATGAAGCCCCACATACTTGATGAACAGGAACATGCACCACAACCCAGGAACACATTCGAGACAAATACAACTCGTGGAAACCTTGAAACCTGTAGCCCAAGTCCCTGCTGGCTGAAGGTTTAGTCGCAACTTACATCAATACATCATCAGCTTGAAAATATTGTCAGTCTACTGATGCTGAATGAGGTATAACTCTCCTCAAAAATCCTATACAGGTCATGAGAATGTCGTTAGGAACACCCGTGTAAACATAACTTTAGCGACATTAATACCCCATCAACTTGTCCAGTAGTCAAAACCATTCCTTTCGTTTCTCCTTCAGTAACATGGTTTTCCGTCGTCAGGCCGCTGAAGCACCTCCCCTCAATATGCTTCATGAACTAACGTGTTCGTCTTGTTGAGGATCTGTTTGACTGTTCCGAGATGCAGTAGCGACTCCGTCCACTGTCATTTGCCTCACCAGTGACTGAATGGTCACCATCATCATCCACCGGCGTATCCTGCTTCTGCAGACGAGTAGTGCAGGGCCGCCGCTTCACTACCATCCATTCCTCTTTTCCGATCTTCCTTTTGCCCTCCTCAAACCGCTTTTTGACTGGGCCGTGTCCTTGTGGGAGACGTTGAAACGTGGTCCCATTTTCAATGAAGGTGCCCAATCTGGATTTGACGAGTGGTACAACACAGCCTTCTCTTCCCTGCAATAAAAATAAATAATTATCTTAAATAAGTTCATATATTTCATTCATATATTTGGTATGACTCAGACAGCATTACATTTTTGAAAGTCATGTAATCTTAATATTAACATTTGTAGGATTGTAACAGAAATTATATAGACAATATTTTGTCATAAGTATGTATGTGCTGTGTTTGTTTTACATTTTACCCACAGATATCAGATGACTGAACCTGATTCAATTGTTGTTGGTTTATTTGTAATCCAAACATGGCACACACCAGACTTACTTTTACCCACAGTTTCAACAATTACAAAAGGTCATGAATATATAATGCAATAATTTCTTTTTGATAAATCATAAATTATTTTGAAACCGAAGCAGTCGATGTCACAGTCCGAAAATCACTGACCCATCGCCATCCACAAGCTCTTGTCTACACCCAATCCTCCTCTCCTCCTCATTCAGTTATAGGGGATACCATGAGGCGCACATGTATCAGTCAAATCGCAGCTCTGACTATACACCACACCTGCAACAGGTTAGCTAGCTCTTACCTGTTTATGAAATTGGTCAGAACAAGACCTGTAGTGCCGTTTTTTAGGTTCAGGTTGAGTCCCCGCCTGGACTGCCACTAAACGTGGTGGGTGGAGTTTGAGTACATCGGATGATCCTGGGGAGCTATCTAGACTGGAGCTTCATCATGCCCCTGGTATGGTACTCCCACTGGGCAGACAGTCTCCAGGTGACGAGTCCGACGAAGAGCAGTCAGAAGCCACAGGAAGCACGAAAAGAATAACCGTGACGTCGCCCGCATGGCGCAGCCCGGGCCCCACCCTGGAGCCAGGCCTGGGGTCGGCTCCGAAAGAGGCGTGCGCTGGTGGCCGGGAGCCTAGCCCACAGGGGCCCGGCCGTGCTCCAGCCCGAAAGGACACGTGGTCAGTCCCTCCATGTGGGCCCACCACCCGCAGAGGGGTCCGTGGCGCTCGGGCAGAGAGGACTGGGCAGCAGTCGAAGCGGAGACCTCGGGCGCCCCAGTCCCACACCCAACAACTGGCTCTTGTGACGTGGAACGTCACCTCACTGGGGGGCGAAGGAGCACCGAGCTTGTGGTGGAGGTCGAAGGTATGACATAGAGATATAGTCGGCTCACCTTCACACACAGCTTAGGGCTCTGGAACCCAACTCCTTGAGAGGGGGTTTGGACGCTCCACCACTCCACTTTTCTGGGGTTACTCGCGGGAGAGGCGCGACTGGTTGGCATACTCATTGCCCCCCATCTCAGCCGCCCACGTGTTGGATTTCTCCCCAGGTGATGCGAGGGTCGCGTCCCACCGCCTTCGGTGGGGGACAAGTCTCTCACTGTTGTGACGGAGCCTACGGGCCTAACACAGTGCAGAGTACTTGGCCTCTTGGAGTCCTTGGAGGGGTAACTGACGTGCACCGCCCGGGGCCTCCGTCATTCTCCTGGGGGACTTTAACGCCCCAGTGGGAAAGCGCCAGTGACACTTGGGAGGGGCTGAACGGGAAGAATGGCCCCCCTGATCTGAACCCGAGTGGTGTACAGTTGTGACTTCTGTGCTAGTCTACGGTTTGTCCATCACGAACACCATGAATGAGCACAAGGGTGTCCACCAGTGCACTGTGGCACCAGGACACCCCCGGCCGGGAGGTCGACTGCTCGACTTTGTTGTCGAATCATCAGACCTTCGGCCGCAGTGTTTCGGACACTCGGGGAAAAGAGAGGGGCGGATCTGTCAACCGATCACCACCTGGTCGTGATTGGATTCCTCTGGCAGGGAAAGAACAGAGAAACCAAACATGTTCAGAGAGCACTTTCCAGATGTGGCTACCCCAAGTGGTCTTTTACTAAAGCCCAAAGGACGAGAAAGGCCAGAGACACAGTCCAACAGACAGAAGAAAGTAGGAGGAGAGGGGTGTCCTTACCGTATGTGGCGGGAGTTTCAGAGAAACTACAAAGAATCTTTAGGCAACACAAAATCCCTGTGTATTTCAAACCTTTCAACACGTTAAGACAGAAATTAGTGCATCCCAAAGACAAAACACCCAGACACAAACAGAGCAATGTGGTGTATTCAATTAAATGTAGTGAAGAGGAGTGCACTGACCACTATATTGGAGAAACCAAACAAACTCTACAGAAACGACTTTACCAACATCGTAGAGAAAACTCTAGTGGGCCACAGTCGGCTGTTCATCTCCACCTCAAGGCCTCCAACCACACGGTGGATGACACAGAGGTTAAAATTCTGGCTCGGGAGAAGAATTGGTTTGAGAGAGGGGTGAAAGAAGCCATTTTTGTGAGGAAACAAAAAACCTTCTCTTAACAGAGGAGGAGGGTTAAGATTTGTTTTGCCTCGCATCTATGACGACATCCTAAAAACAACGCCCTAACTTGGGACAAGGTCAGTGACATGCTAATGAGGAAAGCCTAGTTTATACTCGCGCGGCGCGGAGCTTACGGAGGTGGCGTGACGTCACTTGCGCAACGCGTTGGTCACCGCAAGGCCCTTACGTCGCCTGCCGCGCAGCATCAACATTTGTAACTACGTAAGGGTCGCCGCAAGGAAGCTCCGCTGTGATTGGTCCGTGTGTGTGTATTGGAAGGAAGCATGAAGCGGCTGCAGCAGGGACAATGGACGAGGCACTATGGAGCAGAGCTTTGTGCTTCGAAGGAAAAGCAGTTTGGGCCCAGAGCCTGATATACAGGAGACAGTGGACTATCTAACATATATATAACTTATATCTAACATATATATAACTTATAAACTATTCCGTCGTTTGTTTTGCACTGTTCCTACCTTTGTTTGAATCGTAGCTGCATTTGTTGCTTTCCTCCTGCACTCGTAAATCGTTCATGTTTGTCTCAGATATTTACCACTATTATTGTTTTGCTGTTTGTGCTGAAAACTATTTAATAATAACTATGTTTCCAACAGAACTGTGTCTTTATTCACAGCATCACAGTTGAAATGACTTATAAAATAATGAATCCATAAAACTATCACATAAACCTACAGTAGAAACACGTGTAATGAGCTCAAACAGCTTTGTTTGTTATTGTTCTTCTGAAGAGGACAAAGTAGCAGCGTAAATGGGACCGCTCCTGTGAGATCGCCCTCATGTGGTTTGTTGTGGGATTACAACATTCTCCTCAAAACTCCGTAAGGGGAACGCGCCAGTATAACATCAATTGTGGTTACGTAGGTCCACCGCAACCGCTAACGTAAGCCACGCAGCGCAAGTATACACTAGGCTTTAGGGTCGTTAGCCTCAGCAGGGTCGTTAGTCAGCAGGGTTGTTAGACCTGCTCCCTTCTACATCAAGCAGACCTTAGATTGTTTATGAGTTAGTATCAGGATTAGGGTGTGGCTAACCACACCCATAGGTTATAAATCTCCAACGCGCGGTCTGAGAATTCATTCCCTGAAGAAGTCCGCTAGTTTGAGGACGAAACGTCGGGAAAACTTGCTAAGAAGTACAGATGATGGGTGAGAAACCTTCCTTTGCTTTTTTAACAAATAAAAAACTGAAAAGTGGGGCGTGCAATATTATTCGACCCCCTTGCGCTAATACTTTGTAGCGCCACCTTTTGCTGCAATTACAGCTGCAAGTCGCTTGGGGTATGTCTATCAGTTTTGCACATCGAGAGACTGGAATTCTTGCCCATTCTTCCTTGCAAAACAGCTCGAGCTCAGTGAGGTTGGATGGAGAGCGTTTGTGAACAGCAGTCTTCAGCTCTTTCCTCAGATTCTCGATTGGATTCAGGTCTGGACTTTGACTTGGCCATTCTAACACCTGGATACGTCTATTTGTGAACCATTCCATTGTAGATTTGGCTTTATGTTTTGGATCATTGTCCTGTTGGAAGATAAATCTCCGTCCCAGTCTCAGGTCTTTTGCAGACTCCAACAGGTTTTCTTCCAGAATGGTCCTGTATTTGGCTCCATCCATCTTCCCATCAATTTTAGCCATCTTCCCTGTCCCTGCTGAAGAAAAGCAGGTACAAACCATGATGCTGCCACCACCATGTTTGACAATGGGGATGGTGTGTTCAGGGTGATGAGCTGTGTTGCTTTTACGCCAAACATATCCTTTTGCATTGTTGCCGAAAAGTTCGATTTTGGTTTCATCTGACCAGAGCACCTTCTTCCACATGTTTGGTGTGTCTCCCAGGTGGCTTGTGGCAAACTTTAAACAGGACTTTTTATGAATATCTTTGAGAAATGGCTTTCTTCTTGCCACTCTTCCATAAAGGCCAGATTTGTGCAGTGCACGACTGATTGTTGTCCTATGGACAGACTCTCCCACCTCAGCTGGTTATCTGCAGTTCATCCAGAGTGATCATGGGCCTCTTGGCTGCATCTCTGATCAGCCTTCTCCTTGTTTGAGATGAAAGTTTGGAGGGACGGCCGGGTCTTGGTAGATTTGCAGTGGTCTGATACTCCTTCCATTTCAATATAATTGCTTGCACAGTGCTCCTTGAGATGTTTAAAGCTTGGGAAATCTTTTTGTATCCAAATCCGGCTTTAAACTTCTCCACAACAGTATCTCGGACCTGCCTGGTGTGTTCCTTTGGCTTCATGGTTCTCTCTGCGCTTTAAACAGAACCCTGAGACTATCAAAGAGCAGGTGCATTTATACGGAGACTTGATTACACACAGGTGCATTCTATTTATCATCATCAGTCATTTAGGACAACATTGGATCATTCAAAGATCCTCACTGAACTTCTGGACTGAGTTTGCTGCACTGAAAGTAAAGGGGCCGAATAATATTGCACGCCCCACTTTTCAGTTTTTTATTTGTTAAAAAAGTTTAAATTATCCAATAAATGTCGTTCCACTTCACGATTGTGTCCCACTTGTTGTTGATTCATGACAAAAAATATTTTTTTTATATCTTTATGTTTGAAGCCTGAAATGTGGCGAAATGTTGAAAGGTTCAAGGGGGCCGAATACTTTTGCAAGGCACTGTATGTTCATGACCCCAGTTACAGGCTGTTGTGATGGTTCAGCTGATTATTACATTTATTTCCTCGAGTTTTATACATAGACTGTGTATAAAAGAGTGGAGTGACGGAGTGCTAACATTATGTATCGTTTCATACATAGCGTTAGCCGAATGCAGAAAAAGGCAATTTGAACATAAGCTAGCTGGAGCCAATTTCCTTATATGGGCATTTTCTAGCTTTGCGCCGTAAGAGGGGCAGACATGTTGCAAAGACGGTTGCTAAGACGGTTGCTAAGACAGGCTGGAGTTTATACGCAATTCCTTAATGGGCTTTGTTGAGCTAGGGTTTTCACAGCATTTCCTATGGTTTTCATGAGGTTTCTTTTCTTGTTTCTTGTTAAGTTTTGTATGGACTGTACTATTTTGGGTGTGTGTTTTTTTGAAGCGATAGAGACATCCGGTACCTGTCACTTCCACCTCAGCGCGCTCTGTGTCGGACTCGGTCTCCGCCTCTTCACTCCCCTCCTCTTCCACCACATCTGCCTCCTCCACATCTGGGGTCTGGTCGGCTTTCAGCTCCTCCTGCTTCAGCCTTTGACCAAGACTGACGTTTGACGACAACAACTGCGACACACAACAAATACACATAACACAATCTTTCAAAGGAGACATATCTTGCAAAAGCTTTTTTTTAAATCTTTTGTTACAACAGTGTTCCCTCATCGAAATCAGACCTGGTTTTTGGCTCCACCCACAAAAACCTGGATAACAAACTTAATATGCTTTCTGTCCGACTTCCCACTTGGATAAATTGGGAATGAGTGCTGCTAAAGTCGGAAATTCACCTCGGAAACTTGGGCTGGGTACTTGTTCCTCGAGTTCCCATCATTGAGACATGTGTTGAATTGTTTTTGGATGGAAGAATAAAGAGAAACAGAAAAAGGATGCGTTTTCTCTAGTGCTCAATAACATTTAATTCAATGTATTAGTGTCCCCTAAATCACAACAGTAGAAATCTCTGAGGAGGTGTGTGTGTGTATTTTGGAAGTCGAAGATCAAACAGATCTTTTTCTGAGATTGCATAAAAGCGACATCATTCCTGTAGTAGTACGATATTGTGCCACTGACATCCCGATCAGACTAGTTTTCTGCCTTTTAAAAACAATTATTAGTTACTTTCAAATTGGGGAACAAACAAATCAACAAATTCAACCGCTCCCTCTGGTGGCAGCATAGGGAGTTACAGGCCAACGCCATAATTCACCCTTCAGACTTGTTTCACCATACACTTACTACTGAAGATAATATTTCACTTTCTATAATATGAAGCGACAAAAGGAAATACAATTAGTCTCTATATAATTTCAAATGGAGAAAAATACACTGAATATTTGGACTGGTCTGAACTAATGTGGCCCTCTTACTATAATGTTTGGACACCCCTGCCGTAGAGAGATGATACATTTATCCTCAGAGTTTTGCTGGCTGGCTCGCTCACCCTCCCGCGCCTCCCCTGCAGCAGGCGCAGCAGCAGCAGCCTCACGGTGTCTTTGTTCTGACAGAGACCCAGGGCGTTCAGAGCGTCGAGGCCGGAGCCGGACACGCCCTGCATCCTGAGCTCGGCCCCCAGCGACGCCTGCACGAAGTTGTTCTTGTAGACGTTGCGAGTGAAGAGCGGCATGGACAGAGCCGTGACGAGGCGCCGGTCCAACAGGGCGCCCGCCTGCTCCTCGGTCAGGATCCTGCAGACGACAGGCGGCGTTAGGTTTCCCGGTTCTGGAGGTTCTTTAAACCGCGCTCTTAAGATGATCAATGACTCTTCTGGCCGCTCAATTAAAGGAACTATACCTGATTTATTTTCTAATGAGTTCATAAAAATGCGTATTACTACAAGCTGAATTAAAATATGTAATTTAATTAAAAACTTGAGCAAATTCTTTCAGCTTGTGTATGAATTCAGGCCGTAATAATCTACTTTAGATGAAAAACCTCAAAAAAATTAAAATTTTATTCTGGTAAATAATCGGTTAATCACTATTTCTTTAAAAAAATATTGTTCCTACCTAGTAAATCAAATGTATATTATTTCCATCCATCTATCCATTTTCTTCCCCTTAATCCATTTCTGGGTCGGGGGGTGGCAGTCAGAGCTGCACCCAGTTCACAGAGCACCAGCCCCTCACTGATCCTCCTGCAGGTGGTGAGTCCACAGGAGCTGAGATCTTTCAGCGGGGGCTTTGGGTAAAGTGGGGTTAAGTGTCTTGCCCAAGGACACAACGTCATTTTTTAATAGTAATGACGAACAACGGTTATTTACAAGCTGCTTATCGAGTCAAATCCAGTTGAAACTTCAGTGTGAAGAGTTTATCCTTCTATCAAAATAATCGTTCATTACGGTCCAAAACATGACATATATAAGAGATTAAGATTAAACGTCCCCACTGTGAGAAATTTCAGTGTTGCATCACAAGTTATAGAACAGTAGGAAAGAGGAGCACACAGCACAAAATAAGATCAGTAAACAATAGCGATACTAATTAGAAGAAAACAAAATCTCTAACTCTAGCATCAATAACAAGTATGAATTTTCACATTACTGTACATTTGTTTCAGTGAGTACTCAGTTGGTGCCCACTGCCGCACATGTATTCCAATGGGGTTTTACTGCAAACGCCAAACAAAACACTGAATCTGTTGCTGAGACGATCCATCCCACCTCCCTGTGTCATATCAAGATGTGAGAAAAGCCCACCCCTCGGTATCAACACAAACACACAAACACACACACACACAAAAACACACACGCAGGTTTTCCTCACTGGCTGCTCTTGGCCATGGCGGCGGCGTCCGGGAACAGCGCTCGGATGCAGTGCGTGACCAGCGGGGCCTTCTCCTGAGCCCAGTTCAAACAGCGTCTCCATGGAAACATCGACATCGGCTTTGAACTCACAACCTTCTGGTGGAACGGGCTGCCGGGCTGCCGAGACAGCTCCTTCATCTGGAGACAGAGCGGTGAGAACGACGGTAATGGCATCTCCTCTAAAAAACGTTACAATGAATGCAATGATTAGGAGCAAAGATTAGAGAAACAGAGACAGCACTGAATCTCTCTCTCTCGCGACTCTTGTTAGAAATAACACAAGGATTTCATTGATTTGGTTACAATAAAAAAGCAGTGATTGGGATTTACAGGAAAAAAATATAATCTATCAATCAACTTTAATTTGTGTAATTGAATGCCTTTCCTAACATTCTGGATCACTTTAGCGAAAGGACTATTCAGAACTGTATCACACTCTCACAAGTGCAGCAACAGGGAATCGTGGGAGACACAGCGAGTCGGGGCGGCCACGGGGGCTGAGTGGATTGCCACTCTCGCATCATCAGCAAGAAGGTCTGGGTTCAAACCGGTTGGACCAGGGCTTTCTGAGTGGAGTTTGCATGTTCTCCCCGGGTCTTGGTAGGTTTCCTCGGGTGCTCCGGTTTCCCCTACCACTATAAATATGTACAATTATGGTTGGGCATGTGCCTCCTGTATGCTCTCCCAAAAAAAAATAACAATTGTAAACCGCTTTGAGGACTCCGATGTGTAGTGAATAAGGCGCGTATATAAAGAAAAGCTTACTTGCTAATTACACAATTCAGTTTTTGCTCAGCTGCATGGATTTAAGGCAGTGCAGGACTGTACAAGGACTCTACAAGGACTCCATGTTATGACTATGATTTGACTGTCTCTTTGTGACACGTATGTCTTTCGATGTGTGACGTGACAATGACTATATAAACTGTGTACTGCCTTTATTCTGTCTGAGAGAAAGAAACAGAGAGTAAACCAGTGGAACTTGAGAGAAACTTAAATAAACTTCCAGAGTTTGGCACACCACGATCCGTCTCTGTCTGCTAAATCCTAACAGATTTGGTGGAGAATGCGCGGCTCGGTTTGTGCCATTCTCTGGATTGTTTTGAGGGAGCTTGCTCTGTTTCTTTTCCTCTGCGTGAGAGATCGGCATGCTGTGTCTGGGAGCGGAGATTCCAGCAGGCTGGAAGAGCTGTTCCTGGATGCTTCTTGTCGCTTCTGTCACTTTTGTTTTTTAAATTGAATTTTTCGACGCGGAAAAGATGTTGGTCGACCTCTCGAACAGTCCGGACAAAGAATGAAGGTAAGCAGACACCTTTTTTAATATGTAAAGTCTGCATAATTGGATACTAGCTAAATTTTGAGCTGTCCCGGAGGTCTGTCCAAATCTCTCTAAATCAAATTTTCTTTGTTGTGTCATTGTCACGTCACACATCGAAAGACATACGTGTCACAAAGAGACAGTCACATCATAGTCATAACATGGAGTCCTTGTAGAGTCCTTGTACAGTCCTGCACGTAGGCCATATTGCTATCTAATACTAATACCCTGTCTGCTAAATCCTAACAATGTGACTGTCTCTTTGTGACACGTATGTCTTTCGATGTGTGACGTGACAATGACTATATAAACTGTGTACTGCCTTTATTCTGTCTGAGAGAAAGAAACAGAGTAAACCAGTGGAACTTGAGAGAAACTTAAATAAACTTCCAGAGTTTGGCACACCACGATCCGTCTCTGTCTGCTAAATCCTAACAGATTTGGTGGAGAATGCGCGGCTCGGTTTGTGCCATTCTCTGGATTGTTTTGGGGGAGTTTGCTCTGTTTCTTTTCCTCGGCGTGAGAGATCGGCATGCTGTGTCTGGGAGCGGAGATTCCAGCAGGCTGGAAGAGCTGTTCCTGGATGCTTCTTGTCGCTTCTGTCACTTTTGTTTTTTAAATTGAATATTCCAACGCGGAAAAGAGGTTGGCAGACCTCTCGGACAGTCCTTGGTACCTGTTTGACAAGAATAAGGTAAGCAGAGACCTTTTTATATGTAAAGTCTGCATAATTGGATATTAGCTAAATTTTGGTCTGTTTTTGGGGTCTGTCAAACTCTCTAAATTGTATTTGAGAAGAAGTCTCGGGGTTAGAGTCCCTTTGAGAAGAAGCTTCAGGGTTCGAGTCCCTTTGAGAAAACGTTTTCGGGGTTAAAGTCCCTTTGAGAAAGTCTCGGGGTTAAAGTCCCTTTGAGAAAAGCCTCGGGGTTAAAGTCCCTTTGAGAAGAAGCTTCAGGGTTAAAGTCCCTTTGAGAGAAACCATGGTGTAAAATTAAATGTAATTATAAAAAGGGAAACGTGTTAAGGAGGCCTTTGTTACAAAAGCTTTGAAATTGACGAATTTCAGGCTGATAAATGACAAAAGTAAAGAATCAACAATATTTCAGTGATCACGGTTTAAATTACATACAGAAAAAGGGAGTTTTTGTTTTTGGAGTGAACAGAGTTCACCGGAGAATGCAGAGTTTTATCTACAGTTAAACTATGAGAGGGTTGTATCCAACAGTTGTTTTTTGTTTTTTAGAAAGAGATTTTGAGTTTAAATTAGTTTGCTACCTCGATAAAATAGAAGCGTACGTTAAAGTAAGAGTGCCTTTTGTTACTAGTGTGGAAAGTGATCACTTCTAGACTTGGATGACAAAAGTTTAAAGAACAACATCAGTTATATTTGCTTAACAAAGTAATCTTGAAAGTTCTTCTTCTGTATCTTTCTGCCTGTGTGTGCGCCGCACTATCTGCTGCCGTTGTCAGGGAAACGGCCCCCTCCTTCGCTGCTCTGGCTCTGAATCAGAGCAAAGCTACTGTTTTAGGATTTAGGCTTTTCATAGTTGTTATTCAGTTAAATTTGCGAAATTTGCAATTGAACCTTGTGCGATGACACAGTTAAACGTTTTTAAACACCATTAGTGAATAAGTTTTGAATTAGTATGTTTTTGAAACCCAAATATTAGTGCTAAAGTTTTGCTTTTCTTTTTAAATCTGCTGCTTATTTTTGAGTCCATTATTGTATCTGATATTTCATAGCTGTTTGTGAGAATTTTTTTATGTTTTTATTTTAGTTACAAAAGCCGTTTTTCAAACATTTAAATTAGAATCTGTTAAAAGTGATTATTGATTATAGACTTCGTCTAAAAAGAAAGAGGGAATTAGGCTGTAAAAGTATTATTAAGTTAAACTACCCAATTCACCTTGCAAGTGGTGACTTTTTGTTTTTGTTTTGACTACACGCCTGACCTTACTGTTGCTGATGCCACAGCAGAGGAGCCTGGTCTAAAATGTGCTCCAATTCGGGCGTTCTGCTCTCCCAAAAATTCATCCACTGAGCGGCGCTGTGATCAAAAAATGACACCGTTTGTTGCCCAGTTCACTTCCGGTTGATTTCATACAATGGCGAATATGGCTCACGAAAACAACAAACGATTGACAGTGCCTGAATTGCGTGAAAGGTTGAAGCGAAAGGGTATTTGCAGTGTGGGAAAACGAAAGGAGGAATTGTTGTTGCTAGTTCAACGAGCGGATGGTGTTTATGAAGATTTAGAAGAAGATGACAGCGAGCAGAGTGAACGAAAACGGCTGTGTGTGCGAGTGACAGATGGTAACAATGAGAATGAAGTTCAGCTAAGAGGGAAGAATGTGAATTGGACGGATGATTTGCGCGATATGCCACTAGTTAGAGACGGGAATGTATTTGCATACAGAAAATGACGAAAACGCTCAACCATTTAGAGAAAATGCGCCGGGCAGAGAGAACCGGAAGTTGCGAAGGCAAGTGTTACCCATAATGCAACGCAAAATTCAGTCGCTCCCCCGCCCATCGGATGGAATTTTGGGAGAGCAGAACGCCCGAATTCATACTGACTTCATTTGAAAAATGCTGCAATTATTTTAAATTAGTAAAATAAATGATGAGATAAATGTTCATGGATAATTAATCACACAGTACAAAAGTATATAATACATAGTTTAAAGTTTAAAAAGGTTTTTTGAGATTTGAGTCTTGTTTTTTTTTTATATTAAGAGTTTCTGGTCTTAAAAATGTCATCATTAGTAAGATAATAAGTAATCTTTATTTACATAGCGCTTGGGAAAACCCAGAGCGCTCCAAAATTGTTTTGACTTCAGAGAGAAAAACAATCTCATTCACATACTGATATCTATTGTTTTTTTAAATTGGCCGTCTCAAGGATTGTTTTTCAGACTCTGCCTCACTGTACGAGAGGTCACTGCTGGACACTGGACAGCGCAACGCCCACCCAGCCACAGGTCACAGATCAAAGAGCAAAGGGAAATGCCACCTCCTTGCCCCTCCCCCCACTACAGAAGTAAGTGGGAGTGAGACCGGGGCCATGAAAGAGAGGTATCTGGAGACGTGATGGGTGGAGCATCAGGTAGAGACCTAGAGGGAGTTGAAAGTGTGCCCACTTTGCTTGTTTGCATCACCACAGTGTGACCTTTGAGACCTACAGGTGGTTCGAGGAGTCTGGAGACACAACCCCAAAATTCACATACACACACACACACACATACACACACATACACTCACACATTCACATTTACATATAGATACATGAAAAAGCAGAACATGAGAAAAAAGCATTTTAAAAGTTTACTCCAATGTAAACACATTTTTTTAATTGTCTATCACTTGAATCTTTAGTTGAATCAGTATTTTTTGAGACCAGAAATGTTCATTTGAATTCTATATTGTCATGGACATAATTGACCTCTGTCCTGACACTTTTGATTTGTTGATTTTGTACTGTGTGAAGTAATTACATTGATTAGGATTACATCTGATAAAAACACAAATTAGAGAAGTAAACTGAATCATTGCGCTTGCTTTTTGTCTGAGGGACATTAGCAACAGCATGAATAGAAATTGTGTTAAAGTAGAATCAAAGTGATTTAACCATAGAGAGTAACTATTGCATAACAAGCTGTGTACAGGAACTGAGACACTGCACCATTGACCAGAAGTGCATCGCAAATGACCTGATGTGCTTCAACTGAAAAGACTGTATCTGGAGATCCTGATGTGCATCTGGAGAGACCCAAACCATGGCTTGGACCCTACTGATGTCCAGGATGACATCTCTCAAAATATGACCTGACCTGATGACGACTGAGACTCACCCTC